ATTAACCTTCATCAGGCGATGAAAGGAGACAGAGACAGAGACCCACATTGGAGCACTGGACAGAAATCTCAAGGTCCAAATCAGGAGCAGAAGGAGAGAGAGCACGAGCAAGGAATTCAGGACCGCGAGGGGTGCACCCACACACTGAGACAATGGGGATGTTCTATAGGAAACTCACCAAGGCCAGCTGGCCCGGGTCTGAAAAAGCCTGGGATAAAACCGGACTCGCTGAACATAGCGGACAAGGAGGACTACTGAGAACTCAAGAACAATGGCAAAGGGTTTTTGATCCTACTGCACATACTGGCTTTGTGGGAGCCTAGGCAGTTTGGATGCTCACCTTACTAGACCTGGAAGGAGGTGGGTGGTCCTTGGACTTCCCACAGGTCAGGGAACCCTGTTTGCTCTTTGGGCTGACGAGGGAGGGAGACTTGATTGGGGGAGTTGGAGGGGGAGGGAAATGGGAGGCGTCGGTGGGGAAGAGACAGAAATCTTTCATAAATAAATAAATTAAAAAAAATATTTACATGTGTGCTTGTCCCCAATCAGATAAACTTCACAATATCTACTCTTATGACCATATTCTGCAAAGTCCCCGTAAAAGCCAACAAGGAGACCGAGTCCCATATGTAAAAGCAATGACCCTTTATTTTAAAGAAGTTTGCAAACTCGATCTCTCCACATTTCCAAGATATTGGAATAAACGGAGAGCCCTGAGATCAGTTAGAGTTTTATAGTAGTAAAGGTGGGGGTGAGGGTTTTCTGAGGTCCAGGACCACTGATTGGCTGACATTTGTCTAGTGGTGTCCTGGTGAGTGGTCCTATCTACAGCAGTTGGAACGTTAGGCATTTCCTTTGGATGGTCTGTTTTTGGGTGGTGCTCAGGTAATCTCAGCTTGTGGTTCTTTCTGCAACCAGGCAATGCTTCAGGGCAAACTACTGAGACCCAGGCCTCTTGTTAAATTTATCGATGACTGAGTCCTACTCTGGCTGGTGATAATGGTTGGAAGTAAAGAACTTCCTTTGGGTGACCTGCCCATACTTAGCTTATCATGGCTGGCTCCCACATCTACCATTTATCAAAAATTCCAGGGCATATGCAGAAGCAGGAAGTCAAACCAATCAATAGACTCATGATACGGATGCAGAAACAGTAGATAGGGACAATAAAACAGTTATTACAACTATATTCTACATAATTGAGAGAGTAGAAGAAATGCTGAGGGTGTTTAATAGTTTTGTAGAACACATACTAAGAAATCTGAAATAAAACGTCTGAAGACAAAAGATTTAATATAATTCTTAAATCCAAGATGGAAAAATATGCTTGACAGAATTATTAAGAGGTTAGATATGTCACAAACAAGCAAACAAACAAAGATGTAGTACATTTGTAGATATAACATTAAAACCTATTCCAGCCACCACTTTACTAAGCCAGCATAGCCCATAAGTATATTCTAAATATTTGTCCTCATACCCACAGGTAAGTGTAATCCCATCCCTCATCAAAGAAACTTCTCTTTGCAATAGATGGAGTCTATTACAGAAAACCACAGCCAATCAAAGTGCAGAGCTGTGGAGTGCAGTCCCACGGGATATGTAACAATACAACTCCTGCACCTTTCACAATGTGTGCATATATGTGTCTGTGATGTATATATGATGCGAATGTTTATTATATGTGTTGTGTGCATGATTTGTGCATGTACATGTATGAGTGTATAATTGTCTGTGTGCGTGTGTGTCTAAGTGTAAGTATGGCGAGACTGTCAGAGAACATCCGCAGGTGTGGGTCCTTTCCTGCCTTGTTTCAGGCAGGGTCTCTGTGGTTCCAGCACTGCAACTGAAGGACCTGCTGGCTCCCAAGGATTCCAGGGAATCTGTTTCTATGTCCTGTTTTATCACAAAAGCAGTGAGGTGACAGATGCGGCTTCCGAGGACACACATGAAGGTCCCCCACTTGTTCAGCACAGACTTTGCCCATATAGCCCCCCTCACTCCAATTTCCAGAGCCTTTACATTTTCTGGGAATGACCTAGGAACATATATAACATGACACGGGAATAATAAGCAATGTGGCTTGTGCATATTAGCAATTGTCTCAGAAAAAAGATGCAGACACAAATTAGGGGTTTACACGAAAGAACTTAACATTTTTATTCTGGAGAAATTAGACTTCAGTTTGTAGGCATGAGATTTCAGCTTGACGTTTGTTTTTGTTTTCAGCTCAGGCCTTGATTTGAGTTATTCTGTGATCTAGAAATACAGATATATGGATTTATTAGGGAGGCTAAATGGCAATGCAGCAGTGCCAGTAGAGACCTAGCAATGACGATGTAAAGGAAAATAACAAATGAGTGAAATTAATATGTGTGGGTCAAATTGCCCAAGGCTAGGAAGGGAAACTAGAGCACCAAGGATGACTCTGAAATAGGCGGTATGTCAGCAATCCCAGACTTGGTATGCGTGAGGGACCAAGGCATACAGTAACATAGGCCCGGTCAAGTGGTACCACAAGATCTGCTGGTCTGGTCATGGGAGATGCCTCTCCTCTGCAGACGGTTTCGAAGTCACGTATAGAGGTCAAGATCAAGACAATGTAAGCAGCAGGTGTTCAAAGCAGAGATGACGCAGAAATGGGGTACTCGCTTTGATGTCCTTACTTAAATTAGGTATACTAATTCTTAGTTTTCTGAAGAACAGAAAAGAACAGCTCTATGCAGTTTGATTTTCATCCCCAGTAGGAAAACTGCAGATAGAACACTGTTTTCTCTCCTTAATGACTAGTTCTTCTGAATCCTGTTAGATTTTTAAAGAGACTCACACTTCCTCCTACCAACTCCTGAGACATTATCAATTAACCACATACAGCCCATCGAACACAGCAGAGCTGTAATTAAACCAAATTGCCATGTAGTAGCTTTCATTACATAACGACACAGTTTTTGTTAGGACCATAGAGAGAGTTTAATTACACGTCTAGACACCCCCTGAAGTCAGAGTGGTGGTGCTGTCTTTGAATCTTTAAAGGGGAGCTTGAGCTTTGGATGACTGCAGTTTTAAGAGATCCGTGATAAGGTATATTTAGGGAATCTACCCGTATCTTTTTAAATTCCACATTCTGCTTTGATGCATACTTAGTCTGGGAATTGCTTGTGTATCTGTGAATAAAATGGGGTTAGAAGAAAAATGTACAAATTTCCACTTCTCATATGTGGTTTCCCTTTCATTTGCAGCCAAATAGCGTTTTCTCTGATGGATCCCAAGGTTGCCTTCTCCTTTGACCTTTCCTTTTTCTTGTGTGTCCTAATGCACTCATGCACATGTATGCTTGTGTTTGGAGGTCAAAGGGAAAATCTCTGATCTCAGCGCCATCATTGATTTGGCTCGAGAGGTCTCTTGTTCATTTTGCCTGCTCCAGGCTAGCTGGCCAGGCTTCCCAGAATTCTCCTATCCACCTTCCAACTTGCCAGAGGAGCAGTGGGATTATAGACATCCACGGTGCCAAGCTTTCTGTGACGTCTGAGGATCCTAACTCGGTTCCTCACACTTGTGTGGGAACTCTTTACCTTCCTATAGTACCACTCCCCATCCTCACTCTCTTCAGCAGAGAAACCATGCTCTGTTGTGTAGACACCATCGTCTCAATACCAGTCCTTAACCTTTGAGCAGAAACTGCCTGTCCCCCGAGACTGGCTTGTGCTCTCTCATTCCCAGCCCTGCCCTGTGTCTCTTGGATCCCAAGAATGTACAGATCTTTTCTCTGTGGCCACTCTGGACTTTGTCTTTCTCATACGAAAACTGGCTTGCTGTTTATTTCTTTGTAACTGAGGACCATTTTTTTTGCGCCTTGTCTCACGCTATGTATTATTTTCCAATACAACATCTAATTACCCAAACATTTCTATAGCCTCAAGCCTGAAATCTCTTGTCTCAGACCTGGCATCGTCCAGTGAAAATGAGAAAATGAACCGATCACACATGCGTCCTTTTGAAAATCTCCTCAGCGTCCCCCAGGGAAGCTGCCCTCCCAGCAGGCACTCGCTCTAATCCTACATGCAAATGAGTTTTGAATGCTGTTCATTTGTTGGTGTCACGTGTCCTACTTTATTTTTCTATACAGGCTTATATTCTGTCAACGTGAGGTTTGTGTCTTTACAGCTGGGCCTGTTTACCATTGCTTTCATGTATGACAGTTATTTAAAGTGGTAACGGGCCATTTAATGATTTCTGTCAAAAGAAACGTGTTTCATTAAAACTTTAACTCAGTGAATGTTTTTAGGTTTTTGAGTTGAATTTAGGGAAAAATAAAACCAGTGTCATTGCCTTGAATTTTAGACATAGAATTACTAAAGTGTTATGACACATGCGTTTGAACATATTAGAGAGAGAATGCCTACCCGTGTTCATCCACTCAGGTAAGACTCGTTCCACAGCCAGACTGAGAATTAGTCTGAGTGTGCCTCTTCTCTTGTGGGCCGCTCTAGCCAGACACCCCGGATTTCCCTAGCCAGCAGCATCCAGAACTCTCTTCTCTGCCAGCAACCCGTTTCCAAGGAGAATAAATGACAGCTTCTTGTGCTCTGTTGGAGAATAGTTTGAGGGGAACAAATCGGGGTAATGACTTGAAGAAATTGAACCGTTTGGGAAATATTTTGGAATTAGAATTGACAGAACTTAGTTATGAATTTTATAGAGGCAGCTGTGAGAGGCTCAGTCTCTGAGTTCTCTGAGGGCCTCCCTCTCATTAGGAAAACCCTCTACCACTCATGAGCGCCTGGCGCTCATGGCTTTTCATTAAGCTGTATTCTTAAGCCTTGTTTTCTTTGTGATATATATTTTAAAAATCCTAAATGTGTGTGGTTGAGCCATAAGATTATGGTAGATCTGAAAGCATCAGAAAGAGATATCAGAACCACAAATAAAATTACACAACTGTAATTTTAACTTATTTTAACTTAATTCATGTAATTAACTTCATTATTTTTCCTGTGTAGTACCTGCATGAAAATGGGATTGTCCATCGTGATCTCAAACCAGAGAATCTTCTCTATGCAACTCCAGCCCCAGATGCACCTCTCAAAATTGGTAAGAAACTTTTCAAATCTCTCAGAGCAGAAGATGTTTGTTCCATGGGATTTTAAGTTGTGTTCTATCAGGGATTGCCTCTGTCTGGTTGCCTCCAACACTTGGCCTCTATGAGTGATAATAGCGTGTCGTTTGTTAGTCCGTGTATTTTTCTAGACTGTTCACCTGATGCTGTGTTCCAGACTTCCCTGGATCATTGCTAGGCTTTCAAATGAGCCCCACTCTGGGTGCTTAGTGATTATGAGGATCTCAAAAGATAACCTTGGGTTTTGTAGAAAAATTTATAGTGAAAAGTTGACTTGTGTTTTTCTTAACTTTGAATTGACAAATTATTTGGAGCTTAATCTTATATAATGAAGAACTTTAAAATACCTAGTATAAATTAGTAAATGTAGACTATGAATCTCTTGTTCATATTAGAAGAGAAAACTCAAAGACCATATTTCCAAATTGTTCTCCCCAGAATGCTGTTTTCTAATCGATGATAACTCCCTTGTATGTCTGAGTGTTTGTGGAGGACATGGTTTTACAAAGGGTCTGTGCTTGGTCAAATAAGTTAGAAAATGGCAAATGAAATATTTTTTTTCTGCATTGCCTTATAAAACCTTAAAAGTGCCAACGTGTGGACCAACATATCATGATCTACACTACAAGACTTCCTCAAACTATTGACTCTAGAAATCCACCCCATATAGCATCCAGAAAAACCATAAAGATGAAATTTGGGCAATTCTCATCTACCCATTGAAATTATCCTATTAGGAGAAAATACATTTTATTTCCCATATACTTGCTAAAGCAAATTTTCATTTCCAAAGACAGATGTGAGGTAGAATCTGTATCAAAGCCCCCTGAGGTTGCTAGGCTTCCTCGCTTCTCTATCAGAGCTAAGCTGATGTGTCCCTAACCCAGACCCAGAAAGACAAATGTTGTATGTACTCACTCATAAGTGATTTTTAGACGTAAAGCAAAGAAAAATCAGCCCACAGCTCACAACCCCACAGAACCCAGACAACAAAGAGGACCCTAAGAGAGACATATACATGGATCTCATCTACATGAGAAGTAGAGAAAGACACGATCTCCTGAGTAAATTAGGAGCATGGGGACCATGGTAAGAGAGTAGAAGGGGAGGGGAGAGATAGGGAAGGGAGCAGAGAAAAATGTATAGCTCAACAAAAACAATAAAAAACAAACAAACAAGTGTTAACACCTCTGAAAATTAAGTTGCTCTACCAGAGAGGAGTTGGGGCAGCATTCTGAAAAGCCTGCTGGGCAGCCAGCTCGTTCTGTTAATCACTCCTGAAAGACAGTAGACAGCAGGGGTTTCCATTTCCTTTGACATGACTTTCAAAGATTTGATCCTTAAAGAAATCTCTTTAGATGGATGCATGGATGCTAATTTGGGCAGGAAAGCCTTGCTTTCTGTAGGGCTGCCTGTTGTGTTCAGTGATGCGGTCAAGCACCTCGTGGAAACATGGGCGTATCTTTGAAGTCTAAAATGGTATCCGTTCTGCACCTGCCTCCCTTGAAGAATGGCCTCGAGCAGCCTTCTGACATGCTTGAAAGAGAGGTCACTCAGCAATAGGTCATAACTGTAGCAAGTTGGATAATATTTTACTTAGGCAATATACAGAGGAATAAATAGAAAAATCTAGACTGCCCCCAAAAGGCTTCACTTGTTATATGAGCATAAATTGTTAGCTGTTAAACATTGGCAACTGATATTATTTGTTTTCAATCAGAATAAGCTTTTGACATTTCTGTTTATTTCCATGGCATCTGTGGAAATCTGTATTTTATTTCACCAGTGAGTTGAAGACTCGGGATTGTGTCACGAAGCCTGTACTCTCTCTGGGAGTTACTGTCACATGAATTTGGAATTCTTACAAGCACCACAGTTACTGTTCTGAAGAAAAATTCTTTACATGTTAACGTTTTTGAGATTTAAAGAAAAATCAAGCATTATAAATTATTTGTAAATGTATTGGCGTCATGTTTTTCCAAGTTGATTGAGTGACTATTTATTTTAGCTTCAGAAAATTGTCTTGTTTCCACCCACATCCTCCCACCATCAGTTCAGAAGTAAACAAATACATTAGTTTTGTTTTTGAAAAGCAGAAGTACTTATAAAAGCTGAGAAAAGTCTTGGCATGCTAAATTCTTCTCTTGTGTTTCTAGCTGATTTTGGACTTTCTAAAATTGTGGAACACCAAGTGCTCATGAAGACAGTGTGTGGAACCCCGGGGTACTGCGGTATGCTCTTTAACGTTGACATTTTTACCTCTATTGAAATCTATTTTTACCTAATGACCTGATTTTACTTGAACTCCCAATGTCTCTATTTCTTGATGTTTTGACGTGGTAATTAAATGGCTTGGCCTCGGTCACGGCATGACTAAAGGGGTATATAAATGACACTTGGGTCACCCTTTGTCTTTCCTGCGGGACTTGGGAATGTGGAATGTAGGAACCTGTATCAGAGAGTACCTGTCGGGCCACAGCTACTCTAGGAGACTTCTGTGCAGGACAGACAGCCAGTAGGGAGCAGGGCAGGGCAACAGTAGGGTGTTTGGTCGCAATTGAAGCCACTGGCCCTTCCTGACTTTCTTTGCTTTTCATTAGGAGGGTGTGTAAGGAGAATGGATGCTTTCATTTAGAGGGCACACAATGAGAACGGGGTAGCTGCTGTTGTTACCAGAGCTCACAGGCAAAATAGCCTGGGCTCTGGCTCTGGGTATTCAGCAATGTCAAGAGAAAATGACATAAAATATATAAAATGGAAAAATAGATTTATTGCCAAGCTTCTCTAAAACTGAGAAAAGCCTTCCTTCACAGTCTGTTTCTGCACCCCATAGCAGTTTTACAGGTATAGAAGGGGCACCAGAGATAGGGACTAGGCATAGGTAGAATCCAGCTGTGGATTCCAGCAGTCAGGCGGAGTGACATCTTCCTCCTGACAGTGACTAGGGCTTGAAGACAGATACTGATCCTGACCTTAGCATGATACATGTTTCTTTTAGGGAACTGCAACTGAAAAAGACATTATAAGAAAACCCCTATTTGAAGTTTATGGCATACGTTACTTAGGTTATCTATGTAACTGTCTAGCTCTGTTTCCCAAGGAAGGTCTTCCAGCCGCCCTTGAAGTCGACGGTGCTAATGCCCCTCCCTCCCATTGCCTCCTATCCCAGGACGAGTGGAAGGCACCTTGTGTAGACTCCTCAGTTCACAGATAAATAAAAAGCTTTTGACTCATACTAACATAAACCACTGTCCTTTTTATCACTAAATTAAAGGTAGCAATACCCTAACCAGAAATAAAATAGCTTGCAGACATTACCAAGTGTTCCTAAAGTTGGTGATCAACAAACAGGCAACAAATCAATGAAAATTTTGACTCTAGGAAGAGACATACAGCTTCAAGTCATCACTTCAGAGTCTCCTCCTGATATTAGAATCTCTTCAGATACTGTGCCTTTTGCTCATCTCTTCAGTAAACACATATTCATTTCCTGCTGTATATGTAGGCCACTGCCTCACACAGGAACAATGTATCCCACACTCTCTCCAAAGGAGAGCCTCACAGGCCCTAGAGGAGCAGGCTTATAGGCCCAGAAGTCATAGTGCCTAAGGAACTCTGTGCTCATATCCTGTAGATGTGTACAAAAGCCACTATGAAAACAGAAAGGGGGAAGTGTTTGGAGGTACTGGACATTTTCTTCTATGGCATCTGTATTTATAGATAAACAGAGAACTACATAATTGACTCATTCTAATAATCTTTAATACACAGAGATGAGATTGAGAAAAATATAATAAAGTATTCTTTGAAATGAATGTATGATGAAGTGCCCAAAATTTGAGTTCTGGATAATGCTAACATTAATTTTTTTAACATTCTAATTTTACAAAGGACCAAAAAAAGTATCTTTCCCCAAGATCCTACATTTCATTGTTAGTGGACTCAAGCATATGGCCTCCAACTTACTGTGTAGTTCACCTTAGCCTCAAACTTGTGGTGAATCTCCTGTTTCAACCTCACAGAGATTCTAGGTGAGCACCACCACACCTAATATAACTGTATAAAACTTCAGATATACCACTATGTCACTGTAGGAAGCAAAAGTCAAAATACACATCTTCAGAATTAATAACCTGGATATCCCTTATCTGTATCCATGTTCATATACACATTTTATAATTTTGTTTTTAGTAAGGTAGCTTTCCTGGTGGATTTAAAAAATTTCCTTATAACTTATTTTTCATAAATACAATAATAGTACAGAATTAGGTACTTACCATTAAATGTTTACATTGTGCCAAGTTATTATTATTATTATTATTATTATTATTATTATTTTGGTTTTTGGAGACAGGGTTTCTCTGTAGCTTTGGAGCCTGTCCTGGAACTAGCTCCTGTAGACTAGGCTGGTCTTGAACTCACAGAGACCTGCCTGCCTCTGCCTCCCGAGTGCTGAGAGTAAAGGCATGCACCACCACCGCCCGGCTGTGCCAAGTATTCTTGTTCTAGGTCTTATGGTTTCTGAAATTGAGTAGCATGTTGATTAATAGTAAGTTCAAAAAACTTAAAGTAACTGTGGCCTAGCATCCAGAGTCACAGGGCACCTCCTGCTTGACAGTGTCCCCTAGACATAACGGGAAATAGACTTATGAAATCGCAACAATATGGTTGTCTGAGTAAGACTGGTATAATGACAACACCAGTTGTCATGCCAGCATGGACAGGAAAATTCTACATGGTTTCACTCCTGTGTGAGGGACTTCGGGTGTTCAATGGCTGCTGAGAGAGAGAGAATCACTTTCTTCCAAGGAGGATATTCTGTGTGTCGTCTTATCCCAAGTGGTCAGTTCTGGACCCATGTATATATAAGCAATGCTAAAAATGGACTCGGTTGGTTTGATATACATGTTCTCAATAATAATTAAAGAAGAACTCGTGGGCTTGTGAGAAGTGGGGAGTGGTGTGGGATGCAGGAGCGAGAAGGGGTGGGAGGGGAGTGATAGAAGTACAGTGCTCATGTATAAAGCTCACACAAAACCCTTTTTAAAAAAGTGCTAGTTATGGCTTAGACAAGGGAGAGGATGGCATTCTCATGCTCAGAGTCTAAAGATAAGCAATCCTGAGGGCTTCCACAGCTGTGACTGTGTGAAGGCTACTGATCTCTGTTGGGGACTCAGACTTTGTCTCAGTTCAAGTTAGCTGCTTGAAATCAGTCATCTCTGTGTTCTGTACACAGGGGGGAAAGACTCAAAGAAAAAAGAACACAACAACAAAAACAATGCATACCTTCTTATAGTCAAACAGACATGCTGAAATCACATGTCATTTATGTTTCCATCATATTGCTCATATGCACTCAGCTTCTATACTCTGAGATTCTGGCAATGTTCCCATTAGTGGGACATTATTACTGTCCTAAATTAACCGAGAGTTCTGTTGCTAATGATGTCATACATTTTCAGATGCTGTAACAAAATATTTTAGATGGGGTTACTTGCAAACAACAGAAATTTATTTCTCTCAATCTCGAAAGTTTGGCAGTCTGAGATCAAGAAACTGGCTTATTAGTTTTCTAGCAAGGTTTTCCTGCTTTCTCTGAGATAATGCTGTCTATTTTGTCCTCACAGGGTAACAGTTGGTAGTTTCTCTTGAGCCTCTTCTGTGGGCACTAATTCTACTCATGTAGGCTCCACCCTGAAGGTCTGATTCCCATAGCAAAGACCCCACCTTCTTAATCTGTCACCTTGGGGAGATAAAGATTTCATCATATGACTTTTGGGTCAACACAGATATTAGACATTAGCATTAAGATTGAGACAAGGCACTGAAGGTGCCGGTTGGTGGTAGAGCACTTACTTAGCATGAACAAAGCCTAGTGATTTATTTGTCTTACTTCAGTAAAAGAAAAAGAATGAGCTAGAATCAAGCAACTCATTCCCTCTGCCATAGACTAATAAATTAGTTTGCATCCTTAAGATAAAAGTTTGAAGATGGCTGCACTGTGGAGTTTTCTGGGGGCAGATTCTGGGTTTGGTTTTGGTGGGTTTTGTTTCCCTTAGAACTATCTTCTGACCATGTCTCTTGTTTGTTTCCCTCCTATTTGTGCTGTATATTTTATTTCTGTCTATAATAATTCATATGCCCCTATTTATCCACCTTCTGTATTTCTTTAATGCCTACAAGTTTCCAAGATTGTGGGATGAGGGACTAAATTTAGTTTTACCAAATATGATTGTTCATTTATCACCAGTAATTAATTATTGGACAGTTCACTGGACAATTAAGAGTAAAGTGAGAAAAGATGATAAGGATTTCCCACAAGGAAAAAAAAAAGGATAATTAGCAGTATAATAGTCATTATTATTTTGCAACTGCTTTTATTGTTTTGCTAAAAAATAAAACTCAGAAGTTAACTATTAGGGAATAAATCTGAGAGATCATGGAAACAATCATCTGCTCTCTTCTCCATCTTCCCTGATTGAAAAGACCTACATATCTCTCCTTGCTCTTCCTTATTCCCCTCCCCCCATGTATTCCTCTAGCTTCCTCTAAGTTCACTGGAAAACTATGGTCCGCTCCAGCCAGAATAGTATGGGCTCTGCCTATTGAACTAAGGTCTGATGCCATTGGCAGTTTCAGGACAGCCACAGAAAAGCTCTCCCACAACATTTTCCCCTTTTGTCTAAATAAAAAGGAAGGGTTTTAACTCTAACACAGTAAAACTATATATAATAAGAACAATTATCAGGTATTGTTTAAAGAAAAAGGAAAGGCATTAACCTCCACAAAATAAAACTATATACAATAAGAACAATTATCAAGTAAGAATTATATTCAAAATGTCCAGTTCATTTGTATTTGGCAAATTCAGAGAAAATACTCCATTATCTCTCCTCTTTTGTTGAGTCCAAAGTTCTGTACCTAATTTACTTTCTATCATAACTAAGGATAACTGTAACCATAACTATTTTGTCATCAACCCCATCAGGGACCCAAGAGGGATATAATACTACCTCAGTAAACTGAAAGTGTAGAGCAAAAGACTTCTAAACTATAGAAATGACAGAGACATCTGGCTCTCTGAACAGTCACCCAAGGCTCCTCTGCAATGCTAGGGCATCCATCTTTGACTATAGGCCTGGAATATATGGCAGCATTTTTTGTCAAGCAGATTATTTTGAAGGACTGTCTTCCTTGTCTTGGCAAAGTTTGGCAGTTGCCCTCTCTTGTG